ATGATTTGCAGATGACATGAAAAATCCCAAGGAATCTAAAACAAAACAAACACCCTACTACTAAGTGAGTTCAGCAAGGTTGCAAAGTATAAGAATAACATGCACTGGCCGGGTGCGGTGGCTCACGCCTATAATCCCAACACTTTGGGAGGCTGAGGTGAGCGGATCATGGGTCAGGAGATCAAGACCATCCTGGCTAACACAGTGAAACCCTGTCTCTACTAAAAATACAAAAAATTAGCCAGGCGTGCTGGTAGGTGCCTGTAGTCCCAGCTACTCAGGAGGCTGAGGCAGGAGAATGGCGTGATCCCAGGAGCAGAGCTTGCAGTGAGCGGAGATCGCACCACTGCACTCCAGTCTGGCCGACAGAGTGAGAATCCATCTCAAAAAAAAAAAAAAAAAAAGAATAATATGCACAAATCAATTGTGTTTCTATATACTAGCAATGAACATATGGACACTGAAATTTAAAATACAACACCATTTAGGAGATATAAATAAAAGACACTCTTCATAGATTGAAACACTCAATATAGAAAATATATCAGTTCTCCCCAAATGGATGTACAGATTTAAGGCAACTCCTATCAAAATTCCAACAAGAATTTCTATAGCTATAAACAGAATTATTCTAATGCTTATATGGAAAGGCAAAGGAATTAAAGAATAAAGTGGGAGGAATCATTCTCATTTCAAACTTATTATATAGCTACAGTAAGCAAGCCTATGTAGTTTTGGTGGAGGGATAGACATAGAGATTGATAGAATAAAAAGAACCCAGAATAGCCCCCACATAACTACAGGCAACTGATTTTTTTATAATGGTGCAAAAGCAATTCAATGAAGGAGGAAAAAGCCCTTTCAAGAAATTGTTCTAGCATAACTGGATATCTTCAGGGCAAACAAACAAAACAGACCTCAAACTCAAAATGGGTTGCATATTTAAAAGTAAAGGCCAGACATGGTCGCTCACGTCTATAATCCCAGCACTTTGGGAGGCCAAGGTGGGCAGATAACCTGAGGTCAGGAGTTCGAGACTAGCCTGGCCAACATGGCAAAACCCCATCTCCACTAAAAATACAAAAATTAGCCAGGCGTGTTGGTGGGCGCCTGTAATCCCAGCTACTCAGGAGGCTGAGGCTGGAGAATTGCTTGAACCTGGGAGGTGAAGGTTGCAGTGAGCCAAGATCATGCTATTGCACTCCAGCCTGGGTGACAAGAGCGGAACTCCGTCTCAAAATAAATAAATAAATAAATAAATTTAAAGAAAAAAAAAGTAAAGCATAAGGCCTGGTGCAGTGGCTCATGCCTGTAATCCCAACACTTTAGGAGGCCAAAGCCGGAGGATCACTTGAGCACAGGAGTTCGAGGCTGCAGGCTGCAGTAACCTGTGATGGTGCCACTGCATTCCAGCCTAGGCAACCAAGTGAGACCCTGTCTCTAAAAGTGAACAAACAAATAAATAAGTGTAAAGCATAAAACTATAACTTTTAGAAGATAACATTGGAAAAAATCTTCAGGACTTAAGGTTCAGTGAAAAGTTTTTTTAGACATAACCCCAAAAGCACCATTCATAAATGGAAAAATTGATGTTAGGCTTCATGAAAATTTAAAATTCATATTCTCTGAAAGCCTTGGTAAGAGGATAAAAAGACAAGCTACAGACTGGGTGAAAATATTTATAAACTACATATTCAGCTAAGGGCTAGCATCTAGAATATACACACAACCCTCACAATTCAACAGTTAAAAAAAAGTCAGAAAATGGGCAAAAAACATGAAGAGACATTTCACTAAAGAAGATAGACAGATGACAGATAAGCACATAAAAAGATATTCAACAATGCCTTTCAGAATGTCCCTCCAAATTTGAAAAAAAAAAAAAAGATATTCAACATCATTAGCCATTAGGGAAATGCAAATTAAGACCATGATCAGCTAGGCGCGGTGGCTCACGCCTGTAATCCCAGTACTTTGGGAGGCCAAGGCAGGCGGATCACCTGAGGTCAGGAGTTTTGAGACCAGCCTGACCAACATGGACAAACCTTGTCTCTACTAAAAATACAAAATTAGCCAGGTGTGGTGGTGCACGAGTAATCTCAGCTACTCGGGAGGCTGAGGCAGGAGAATCACTTGAACCCGGGAGGTGGAGGTTGCTGTGAGCTGAGATCGTACCACTGCACTCCAGCCTGGGCAACAAGAGTGAAACTCCGTCTCAAAACAAAAAAACAACAACAACAACAACAACAAAGACCATGATCAGATATCACTACCCGCTTAGGAGTGAAATGGGAAAAGTTCCCTCGTTCTCCTTGCAGGGCTTGCGAAGGGGGTGTGGTTCGCTTCTTCAGTGCCCCGCTGCTCAGACCTCTGGGGGAGTATTCAGATGGGCAGGCTGTGGGGCTCTGACCCCATGGCAGTGTCTAGGGTTGAATTTACAGCTGAAGCCCCAGTGGGCACATGTTACAGGGTACTCTTTTAGTTTAGGCGTCCGTAGGTGGCTTCTGTTAGTCAGCTCAATGTACTTCTGCCTTATTTCCAGGTCAGAGAGCTTTCTGTAATCCCAGGGTTCTTGCCTCAGTGTACAAGAATTGGATGGATCACGCGTGGGCTTGGAGAATGAGTGCAAGGTTTTATTGAGTGGAAGTAGCTCTCAGCAGATGGGGGAGCCAGAAGGGAGATGGTTTCCCTCTGGAGTCAGGCCACGTGGCAGCCCGGGATCTCCTCTGACTGCCCCAGCCAAACTCCGAATCCTTCTGCTGGTCAGTGGCCTGCTGGCCTGCTGATATCTGTCCTGTCATCTTCTGCCGATGTGTTCCTCTCCACATCCAGCCACTTGAGTGTCTGCCAGCTAGGGTCTCAGGGTTTTTATAGGCACAGGATAGGTGCGTGGCAAGTCAGGGTGGTATTGGGGAAAGCAACATTTGGGCAGGAAAACAAAAATGTCTGTCCTCATGTAGGTCCGTGGGCACAGGCCTGGAGGTGGAGCCCTAGCCAGGCACTATGCCCTCCTCTACCCAGCACTTCCCTTCCCCGCTTCCAGATCATGAACACAGGTAAAATAGCAAATCATGACAACATCAAATGCTGAATGTGAATAATTTAGGCATTGCTAGGGTGAATGTAAAATGGGAGAGACATTCTAGAAAATATTCTTTAAATGTTTACTATCTAAAGAATTATCTTTAAAAGTTCACCTGTAATCCCAGCACTTTGGGAGGCCGAGGTGGGTGGATCACAAGGTCAGGAGTTCGAGACTAGCCTGGCCAACATGATGAAACCCCATCTCTACTAAAAATACAAAAGTTAGCTGGGTGTGGTGGCGGGCACCCGTAATCCCAGCTACTCGGGAGGCTGAGGCGGGAGAATCGTTTGAATCTGGGAAGCGGAGGTTGCAGTGAGCCAAGAGCACGCCATTGCACTCCAGCCTGGGTGACAGGGTGAGACTCTATCTCAAAATAAATAAATAAAATAAAATAAAATTTAAAAATAAAATATGCCACTACCATGTGATCCAACAACTATGCCTTTGGACATTTATCTTAGGAATGAAAACTCTGTTCACAAAACCCCATACTTATGTTCATAAAAATGTATACGCAGGTGTTTAGAGTGGTGTTATTCCTAATAGCCAAAAGCTGAAAACAACACAGATGGCCTTCATTGAGTGAATGGTTAAACAAGCGATGCTATACCCATTTTATGGAATAAATACTGGGCAATAAAAAACAATAAACTATTGACATATACAACAACCTAGATGAATCCCCGGAGAATTATGCTGAGTGAAGAAAATCAATCCCTCAAGGGTATATACTGGATTATTCCATTTATACAATATTCTTCAGATGACAAAATTATAGAAATGGAGAACAGATTAGTAGTTGTCAGAGGTAAAGAAGGGTGGGACAGAAAACGATATAGCCATAAAAAGGCATCATGAGGGATCCATATGGTTTGAAAATGTTTTGTACCCTGACTAGATCAACGTGGGTGTCCTAGTTGTGATACAGTACTAATGTTTTGCAAGATGTCACCATTGAGGATCGCTGGTTTAAAGGGTACATAAGACCTCTAGGCATTATTTCTAACAACTGCATGTAAATCTATAATTATCTCAAAATTAAAAGTTTAATTTAAAAAATGCTTCCAATAAATAAACAAACGGATGGATGGGAGTTCTAATATTTTCTTCCCATGCCATAATGGATCATCTTGGGCGCACCCAGTTTTAGAGATCACTAACATATGCTGCTTGTACCTACCCAGTCTTAGAGCCCCTTCGGTTATTCTCTACATTCTCTTAAAGTTGTCTTTCTTAAATGCAAATCTGATCATGCTACTTCTCAAAATCATAGTCTGATATATAAGGGCCTTCATGATCTGGCTTTAGGCCTTTACTCAAATACGTACCTATACACCAAACTACTTGCAGTTTTCTTTATTCCTTTTCTTTTTTTTTTTCTTTTTGAGACAGAGTCTCGCTCTGTTGCCCAGGCTGGAGTGTGGAGTGTGGTGGCACAATCTTGGCTCACTGCAATCTCCACCCACTAGGTTCAAGTGATTCTGGTGCCTCAGCCCCCTGAGTAGCTGGGATTACAGGAGTGAGCCACCACGCCCAGCTAATTTTTATATTTTTGGTAGAGACAGGGTTTCACCATATTGGCCAGGCTGGTCTCGAACTCCTGGCCTCAAGTGATCCACCCTCCAAAGCCTCCCAAAGTGCTGGGATTACAGGCAGGAGCGCCTGGCATACTTGCAATTTGAATTATGCAAAACCCTGTGTTTAGTGTGAGATACCTGAGGACAGGCACAATGACTTGTCTTTGCTTGCCAATAGTATCTCTAATTCAATGATCTCTAAGGCTTAGTGTGTTCCTAGCACATACGAGGAGTGCAATAAATCCTGACTTAAAGAAGCCTACTTTAAGTGTGTTTTCCTTTGCTTGTAATCCTGAGAGCCCAGAGGTATTGATTCTGTGTTACCTCAGAACACTGACCTGCAATCACTCCTGCCAGGTACACCAGCCCCACACGGAGGCCTTTGTGGACCATTTCCAATGGAATACCCAAAACAAGCTGCATACAAAGATTCCCCAGGATGTGCTGAACTCTGCAAAGACAAACAACAGTTGTCACATATTATGACTAAACCCAGCAGTTGTTTCCCTGGGAGATGAACAGACTTTCATGTGTTTTCTCTAGTTAAGGATTTGCTTAACTAGAATTCCATTTTCTAATTTCTCTTAGCAGACAACTCTTTTTTTCTTTTTCTTTTTTCTGTGCGTGTGTGTGTGTGTGTGTGTGTGTGTGTGTGTGTATGTGTGACAGTCTTGCTGTGTCTCCCAGCCAGGAGTGCAGTGGTGCAATCTCTGCTCACCACAACCTCTGCCTTAAGGTTTCAGGTAATTCTCATACCTCAGCCTCCCAAGTAGCTGGGATTACAGGCATATGCCACCGCTCCTGGCTAATTTTTTTTTCTTTTCTTTTTTTGAGACGGAGTTTATCTCTTGTTGCCCAAGCTGGAGTGCAATGGCAAGATCTTGGCTCACTGCAACCTCCACCTCCTAGGTTCAAGCGATTCTCCTGCTTCAGCCTCCCTAGTAGCTGAGATTACAGGTGCCTGCAACCACGCCCAGCTTATTTTTTTTCTTTTCTTTTCTTTTTTTTTTTTTTGAGTTTATCTCTTGTTGCCCAGGCTGAAGTGCAATGGCATGATCACAGCTCACTGCAACCTCTGCCTCCCAAGTGCAAGCGATTCTCCTGAGTAGCTGTGATTACCGGCATGCACTACCACACCCAGCTAATTTTGCATTTTTAATAGAGACAGGGTTTCTCCATGTTGGTCAGGCTGGTCTCGAACTCCTGACCTCAGGTGATCTGCCTGCCTTGGCCTCCCAAAGGCTGGGATTACAGTAGTGAGCCACCGTGCCCTGCCTAATTTTTGTATTTAGAGGTTTCACCATGTTGGTCAGGCTGGTCTCGAACTCCTGACCTCAGTGATCCACCCGCCTCAGCCTCCCAAAGTGCTGAGATTACAGGCATGAGCCACTGCACCTGGCTGATTTTTGTATTTCAAGTAGAGACAGCGTTTCACCATGTTGGCCAAGTTGGTCTTGAACTCCTGACCTCGGGTGATCCACCCACTTTGGCCTGGGGAAGTGCTGGGATTACAGGCATGAGCCACCATGCCTGGCCTCTCTGGGCGTCTTATATGGGAAAAAAAATAACCTCTGTTTAAGGCCCCGTTAGATATTTTTGGTACTTGCATCCAAAACATTCCTAATTTATATAATCCTATACATGGTATGTCCTACACAGCCTTGCAAAAAAAAAAAAAAAAATTTTTTTTTGAGGCGGAGTGTGCTCTGTCACCCAGGCTGGAGTGCAGTGGCACAATCCCAGCTCACTGCAACCTCTGCCCATGCACCATACGCCCAGCTAATTTTTGTATTTTTAGTGGAGACGGGGTTTCACCATATTGGCCAGGCTGGTCTCGAACTCCTGACCTCGTGATCCACCCACCTCGGCCTCCCAAAGTGCTGGGATTACAGGTGTGAGCCACCGCACCTGGCCTTTTATTTTTATTTTTATTTTTTTTTTTTTGAGACAGGGTTTCACTCCCTTCATCTAAGCTAGAGTGCAGTGTCTCGACTTTGACTCACTACATTTCCGTCTCCTGGGCCTGAGGATTCCTTAATTGTCCCACCTCAGCCTCCCCAGTAGCTGGGACTGCAGGCACACACCCTATGCCCATCTAATTTTCTTTTTTTTTTTTTTTTTTTTGTAGAGATGGGGGTTTCACCATGTCACCCAGACTGGTTTTGAACTCCTGGGCTCAAGCAATCCACCCACCTCAGCCTCTAAAAGTGCTGGGATTATAGGTGTGAGCCACTGCTCCTGGCCACAAATTTTTTTTAAGTGCCTTACTATGTGTTAGGCACAGTGAAAATTATAGCCATTGTCTCATTTAATCACAACAACCTTATGAGGTATATTGTACCCAGCCTACTATATACTATAATACTGTACTGCCTTACATAGCTATTTAACTGACATGTTCCCTCTTACCATCTTAAAGTCCTTGTGTGCGGGAGCCATGTTTGCTCAGGATATACTCGTTAAATGGAAACTGAGCAATTGGTGATTTTGCCCCTGATTTGTCAAGCCTCTGAGCCATGTGTCCTGATGCCTGTTTAGCCACTAAGCAAAAGTATCATCCTATTTTATTTATTTATTTATTTATTTTATTTTTATTTTATTATTTATTTATTTTTGAGATGGAGTCTCGTGTTGTCACCCAGGCTGGAGTGCAGTGGCGTGATCTTGGTTCACTGCAACCTCTGCCTCCCAGGTTCACACCATTCTCCTGCCTCAGCCTCCCAAGTAGCTGGGACTACAGGTGCCCACCACCATGCCTGGCTAATTTTTTTGTATTTTTAGTAGAGACAGGGTTTCACTGTGTTAGCCAGGATGGTCTTGATCTCCTGACCTTGTTATCTGCCCACCTCGGCCTCCCAAAGTGCTGGGATTACAGGCATGAGCCACTGCACCCAGCCTCTATTTTATTTTTTATTTATTTTTAACTTTTTTGTAGAGACACTCTCTATGTTGCCCAGGCTGGTCTCAGACTCCTGGACTCAAAGCAATCCTCCCTTGTCAGCCTCCCAGGTAGCTGGAACTGCAGGCACACACCACCACACCCCAGCTACAAGTCGTTTTCAAGTACAGGGCTGGGTAAACTGCATAGACAAGGTTGGCCCCACCTGAGGCCACAAGAGTTCACCAGATAGGTGGGGCCAACAGGGAGCTGCCCGCTGTCTGCAGTGGGCATGGTGGATCACGGATGCTGAGTGAGTTCATGAAAGGCCATCAGCATTTAACAAACTATAGGCGGCCAGGTGCAGTGGCTCACACCTGTAATGCCAGCACTTTGGGAGGCTGAGGCAGGTGGATCACAAGGTCAGGAGATTGAGACCATCCTGGCCAACATGGTGAAATCCCTTCTCTACTAAAAATACAAAAATTAGCCAGGCATGGTGGTGGGTGCCTGTAGTCTCAGCTACTCAGGAGGCTGAGGCGGGAGAATGGCTTAAACCAGGGAGCCAGAGGTTGCAGTGAGCCGAGATTGCACCACTGCACTCTGGCCTGGTGACAAAGCTAGACTTCGTCTCAAAAAAAAAAAGAAAAGAAACTATAGGCAAAACTAAATGGCGGTCACTGCATCTCCTATTACCAGTATTATTCCACATGGATAACAGTATCATACACTCATCAATATGTTCATGAACTAAATTTATTTTATTTTATTTTTGAGAGAGAGTCTCGCTGTATCACCTACTCTAGAGTGCAGTGGCGTGATCTCGGCTCACCGCAACCTCCACCTCCTGGGTTCAAGCAATTTTCCTGTCTCAGCCTCCTGAGTAGCTGGGATTACAAGCACACGCCACCACACTCAGCTAGTTTTTGTATTTTTAGTATAGACGGGGTTTTATCATATTGGTCAGGCTGGTCCTGAACTCCTGACCTCAGGTGATCTACCCGCCTTGGCCTCCTAAAGTGCTGGGATCACAGGCATGAGGCACTGTGCCCGGCCATGAACTAAATTTTGTTTGATGTATGGTGATGGAGGAGGAGACTGGTGACTCAGCACCACCATTTTCATAGCCTAAAGAGTATATCTAACAACATTAGACAACTAGGGGAACATGCTTTTGGTTTTGCGATGATTTGATCTCATTAATATTCCTAAATAAATACTAATATTGGGCAGTTATAATGCAATATAAAGTATACTGGCCTTATGGGCACAGTGGCTCACGCCTGTAATCCCAGCACTTTTGGAGGCTGAGGCAGATGGATCACCTGAGGTCAGAGTTCGAGACTAGCCTAGCCAACATGGTGAAATCCCGTCTCTACTAAAAGTATAAAAATTAGCTCGGCCTGGTGGCAGGTGCCTGTAATCCCAGCTACTCAAGAGGCTGAGGCAGGAGACTCGCTTCAACCCAGGAGGCGGAGGTTGCAGTCAGCAGAGATCTGGGAAAAAAAAAAAAAGATATACTGCCCTTAGAGTTAGCACTAGTGGGCTGAGGTCCTAGCTCTGCAACTTAGCTGTGTGACTTGGAGCAAGTTTTTTTTTTGTTTGTTTGTTTGTTTTTTTTTTGAGATGGAGTCTTGCTCTTGTCCCCTAGCCTGGGGTAAAGTGGCACGATCTTGGCTCACTGCAACCTCTGCCTCCCAGGTTCAAGCAATTCTCCCACCTCGGCCTCCTGGGACTACAGGTATGCACCACCATGCCTGGATAATTTTTTTATTTTTAATAGAGATGGGGTTTCACTATATCAGTCAGGCTGGTCGCAAATTCCTGACCTCGTGTGATCTGCCCACCTCAGCCTTCATGACTACATCTTCCAAGCCTCAGACATAAAACAGCGGGAGCAATACCTACTCCTTAGGGTTGCCGTGAAGATTATGGACATGAAAGTGCCTTATCAATAATAAAGCACTCAACAAATGTTAGAGGTTACAATGATATAATCAACTCTGATACCAGGGGCTTAACTGTCATCGCTTACCCAGCATGTACCAGCATGTATGAGATAAACCTCCAGGCTTCCTCCCTCTTCTCAGGACTGTAGATAAAGGGACTCTCCAAGATGCCTGTGTCCAAGGTGATCCACTGTTTCTGAGGCTTCCACACAGCATAGTAAATAAACACTGCCAGCTGACGGAGGGAGCAGACATGAGTGTTAACCACACCGTCTCCAGAGAGGGGCCCCATTCAGGCCCACGGGCAGTAACTGTTTCAGATGATTCAGCTCTCAAGTGGGCCACACCATAGAGCCAGAAAATGACATGAAATACACTTTTTCATCATCCCCCACTGTGATGGTTTCCACCATACCCCACTTCCTCCAATGGTTGGGAGCAGTGCTAGCTCACATTGTCAGGAAGACTTTCTGAACCCCTTTTGCCCTGCTGTTGGACCCCCTGCTCTCTGGCACTACGTTCTCTACTACCCTGTCACTCTTAAATACCCACTGCCCTCATCGCCACACCAACTGATCTTTCATTTACAACTTCCTATGAAAGTAGGTCAATGCTGGCTTCCGAATAATAGAGCAGGGAAAGGGAAAAATAGTCACTTGCAAGGGGAGAGACCTGGCAAACCCTCCCTTAACCAACGGATGGAGGTGAATGTCCCAAGCATGTGATGTCCTCAACTTTCTGAGGCTATGTGTTGGGAAGAGCCCTTCACCTCCATGGTATTCTTCTCCCAAACTCATAACTCCAGTTAAATCGCAAGAAAAGCATCAGTCAAACCCCAGCTGGGGGACATTCTACAGGATCCCTAGCCAGTCCCCGTCAAGACTATCAGAGTTATGAAAAACAGACTGAGAAGCTGCCATACATAGATCAGAGGAGCCTGGGAGACATGGCAGCTAAATGCAGTGGGTACCAGAGGAATAGAAAGAGGCCATTAATGGAGATACTGGTAAAAATCCAGATAAATCTGGAGTTTAGTTAGGAATATGCCAATGGCACTTTCTTAGTTTTGACAAATGTACTATGGGGCCAGGTGCAGTGGCTCATGCCTATAATCCCAGCCCTTTGGGAGGCTGAGGCAGGCGGATCATCTGAGGTCAGGAGTTCAAGACCAGCCTGGCCAACATGGTGAAACCACGTCTCTACTAAAAATACAAAAAAAAAAAAAAAAAAAAAAAAAACCTAGCCAGGTGTGGTGGTGCACACCTGTAATCACAGCTACTTGGGAGGCTGAGTCAGGAGAATCGCTTGACCCTGAGAGGCAGAGGTTGCAGTGAGCTGAGATCACGCCACTGGCACTCCAGGCTGGGCAACAAAGCAACTCCATCTCAAATTTTAAAAAATAATAATAATAAATATATATATATACACACACACACACACACACACACACACACGCTATGGAAGTGTAATGTACTATATGCAGAGATTATCCTGGGTTTGAAAAAAAAGAAAAACAATGCAATGTACTATGGCAATGTAGGATATAAACAATGGGAGAAACTGGGTGAGGAGCATACAGGAACTTTCTATTTTATCTTAAAGTTTATTTGAACATTTTTAATTTAAAAATTGGTCTTTCTGTGAGAGGCAGGTGTCTCAGCACCTGCTCCATGAGCCTCCTATGGCAAGCCACCCTCCTCCATAGCACACACTATCTAGGCAACTGTGATTTGTACCACGAGAGCTTATGTCATTCTTCCCCATTCACCTGGGACAGACACACACACAGCTGATTGGAACACAAGATAACTCATAGGCCGGAAGGATAACAGGAGGGAGAAGCAGAAAAAGCAGATACAGACACCTCAGATCCGAAGACTTCCCAGTTGCAAGCAGTCTCACAATAAAATCCTGTGAAAACAATTAGAACTGTGCCCTTTCAACTGAAACAGACTTGACCACAGCATCTCTTGGGACACTTACACCTTAGCCTTAACTTTGTCTGAGCCATAAGAGGCTTGGTCCCTGCAACGGTTAATTTTATGTGTCAACTTAGCTAGGCTATGCTACCCAGACAGTTGCTTAAACATTATCCTAGGTGTTTTTGTGAGGGTATGGTTTACACTAATATTTAAATCAGTAGTCTTTGAGTAAAGTCGATTTCCCACCATACTATGGGTGAGACTTGTCTAGTCAGTTGAAGGCCTTGCTGGAGAAAAGACTGTCCTCTGTTAGGGAAGGGAATTCTGCCAGCAGAACTCTACCTTTGGACTTGAACGGCAGGTCTTCCCTGGGCCTCCAGCCTGCCAGCCTTCCCTGAAGATTTTGAACCTGCCAAGTCTCCATAATCATTTGAGCTAATTCCTTAATAAATATGAATCTCTCTTCCCCCAGGACGCACACACCTACTGATTCTGTTTTTCTGAAGAACTCTTGACGAATACAGTTTGTGAAAAGGAAGCTGAGGCATCAGTGCATCAGTGGGAACTAAAAGGGTTCCATTAGGAACTGCCTAATGCCCCTGAAGTCCCACTCCACAGGCAGCCACGGTTGGCCAATTCCTTTATAGGACATCAAGTGTGGGGACATCAAGTGTTAGGACATCAAGTGTTCCTTTATAGGACATCAAGTGTGGGGGAAAAAACTAGGTGCCACAGGTTCAGGGGAGCTTCATCCTGGCCCAGTGACTATGATGTGACCTTGGGAAAGTCATCCCACCTCTCTGAGACTTGCAATCTTTTCTGGAAAACAAGAGGACTGGCTAGATCAGAGCCTGAAAACACATCACATACTGCCTGAAGCAGACATTGTTAAAGGATCCCGGTTTTTTCCTACTGAAATTCAGCAGCATTCTATAATAGTTCTAAACCTGGGGTCCCAGAAAGGCCTTACCAACCAGTCTCAATCAGTTCATGAGAGAAAGCCTATGTGCAACCCCAGGATGATTTGGTCCCTAAAGACCTCACGGCTAAAATGAAAGGAAGCCACTGAAACTGCAGCCACAGCTGGGCAGCTTTGTCTGACAAAGGAAACTCCACCTGGGTTGGCAGTGACCGTGAGTATAGGGAAAGCCTCAAAGGCAGCTGTGGGGAGGGCGGAGGCAGAGGTGAGCTGTGTGCTGTCCCCATCCCCGCCGAGCTCTCTCACACGTTCCCAGTCTCTTCTCTAGATCTAGATCTGACCCCTAGTTTGTTTGCAACTCCCCTGTGCCACTTACCCCATTGCCCACCCCGCTCCCCATTCACCTCGGCCAGGCTGATGGAGATGATGAACACGGGGGGCGGGAAGCAGTTAGCTCTCTCCAAGTATGTTCCTCGGGCCTTTTCGGGCAGCATCCATTTTGAGACGATCCTGTGGACCTTTCTACTCTTGGCACGATCTTTACCTCCCCTATCCTCTCTCATTTTCTCCTCTTGCTCCAGCTCTTCCTTCATCTCTCTCCCCATATTCAGATTCATGCTCTCCATCTCCAGATCATGAACAGCAGCCATTGTCCTGGGTTCTCCCTCCAGCCCAGAAGGACATGAATCCCAGAGAACAGCAGGTGGCCCTAGGTCCTCAGGCTGTGGCTCTTCCCTGGGCTGTCTGGCACAACCACTGCTTTCCAAGGCCTTTCCTGTATGTAAAGAGAAGACAGCTGAAGATGATCAAAATGATCTAAACTTCCTAAATGGCCCAGAATAAAGTTTTCCCTGTAACTGTTTTAAAAAGTATGAGCCAAAGAGCCAGATGACTGAGATTAAAACACAGCTCTACCACCTATCAGCTGTCAGTTAACATCAGGTAAATCACTTCATTAAATTCTCCAAGCCTCAGATTATATGTTTCTTAAATTGTGGTGAAATACACATAATATAAAATTTACCATTTTTGCCATTTAATGTTTTTTTTTTTTTTTTTTTTTTTTTTAGTCATTTTGCTCTTTGGCCCAGGCTGGAGTGAAATGGCGAGATCTCAGTTCACTGCAACCTCCGCCTACTGGGTTCAAGCAATTCTTCTGCTTCACCCTCCCTGGCTAATTTTTGTATTTTCAGTAGAAACAGGATTTCACAGTGTTGGCCAGGCTGGTCTTGAACTCCTGACCTGAAGTGATCCACCCGCCTCAGCCTCCCAAAGTGCTGGGATTACAGGCATGAGCCACTACACCCGGCCTAGAATGTCCTTTTTTTATGGCCGAATGCTGTTGCGTTGTATAGACATGCCACATTTTGTTTATCCACTCATCTGTTTATGGACATTTGGGTTGTTTCCACCTTTTGGCTATTGTGAATGAACATCCCTGTACAAGTTTTCTTTCTTTCTTTTTTTTTTTTTTTTTTTTTTTTTTGAGACGGAGTCTCGCTCTGTCACCCAGGCTGGAGTGCAGTGGCGTCATCTCAGTTCACCACAAGCTCCGCCTCCCAGGTTCACGCCATTCTCCTCCCTCAGCCTCCCGAGTAGCTGGGACTACCGGCACCCGCCACCACGCCCGGCTAATTGTGTGTGTGTGTGTGTGTGTGTGTGTATTTTTAGTAGAGACGGAGTTTCACCATGTTAGCCAGGATGGTCTCCATCTCCTGACCTCGTGATTCACCCATCTCGTCCTCCCAACGTGCTGGGATTACAGGCGTGAGCCACGGCACCCGGCACAAGTTTTCTTTAAACATCTGTTTCCAGTTTGAGGGGGAGCATATACCTATGAGTGGAATTGTTGGGTCATATGGTAATTAATTCTATGTTTAACTTATTGGGAAACCCTCAGATTCCATTTTAAACTGGGAATAATGATAGCATTTGCCTCATAACATTGCTGGGAAGCTTACTTGAGATAATGCAATAAAGCACTTAGAACAGTATCTGGGCAGTATCTGGGCCAGGCATGGTGGCTTAGCCTGTGATCCCATCACTTGAGCTCAGGAGTTTCAGACTAGCCTGGCCAACATGGTGAAACCCCGTCTCTACTAAAAATACAAAAACCAGCTGGGCATAGTGGCACGTGCCTGTACTTCCAACTATTTGGGAGGCTGAAGCAGGAGAATAACTTGAACCTGGGAGGCGGAGGTTGCAGTGAGCCAAATTCACGCCACTGCACTCTAGACTGGGCCACGGAGTAAGACTCTGTCTCAAAAAAAAAAAAAAAAAAAAGAACAGTATCTGGCACGTAGTAAACACCCTATAATTATTAGTTGTTATTGGCTATAGATGGATGAATGAGTTTTAGATGGATGGATGGATAGATGGAAGGGATGGAGCTGAGCCTGGGGCCTGTTTTCACACTGCCTGTTACTGGGAATCAGATCAAATTCTACTGATTTTCAAATGAAACTCATTAGGCAACTTTTCACATTAGAATAGGTTATATTCAATAAATTGAGGAAGAGACATCTTATTTTTCTTTTCCCCAGCAACTTTTCTGAAAATAAAGGCTTTTGCTCTCCCCTGCACTTTTCACCCACCCACTCACCCACCTCCCAGAGTCAGACATTCAGTCCATAGATGTAACTCTTTTATTAATTTCCCTTGAAGACTGATGATTTTTTTCTAGTTTTTGCCACATCTCATAGTTGACAAAACTACAATGTGGATTTAAGATCAGCAGCTTTTAACCACAAATATTAAAGCATTTAAAAAATAAGTTCAATTAGAGACAGTTCACATTGTACAAATCAGCCTTATTGTAAATCTAAAATCATACATAATCATTTTATGAGGAAATACAATTCCACATTGTTAACAATACAACTGTATAAAAGGAGCTACAAAAATAAGGATTACATTTACCCTTATCTTGGGATTTCAACAGTTCCAGAAATTTTACAACTTCAGGACCACCATTTTAGGCATGTTAGTGCCTAAACATATTTGCTGTGCTGCAAAGATAGTTGACCCAATCGGTTTAGCCAAAACTCATTGCATGACTGCTTTCTGCCTTGCCTTGTGCCGTAAAGTAGACATGTAATTCTAGCTACTTTAGGCTTTAGCACTAAATGAGCACACTGGTAGCAATTAGAAACATTTGGGGTTTTTTTATTTAATTTTTTTTGAGACAAGGTATCTCTCTGTCACCCAGGCTGTATTGCAGTGGCAGGATCACGGCTCATTGCAGCCTCTACCTCCCAGGCTCAAGTGAGCCTCCCACCTCAGCCTCCCAAGTAACTGGGACCACAAGCACACACGCCACCACACCCAGCTATTTTTTTCTATTTTGTTGAGATGGGATCTTCCTGTGTTACCCAGGTTAGTCTCAAACTCCTGGGCTCAAGCGATCCTCCCACCTCAGCCTCCCAAAGTGCTGGGATTACAAGTGTGACCCACTGCACCCAGCCAACATTTTGGTTTTACCTCTCTTTTCAGTCAATGACTATCATCCTCCAACTTCCATACCTGTCTACCCTGTTTCCTGAGAACAGGGGCCTCTCTCTGATTTATCTTATCTCCAATACCTGGTGCTATAATGCTCACAGGTGCTCCTTCCAGTCTCTGACATTTCCCTATCTCTCCTACTCACATTTATCTTCTGCCCCACTCCTGAATTTCTGAGGAAATATTACCTATCATATTGGTAACAATGAAAAAGACTTAGGCCGGGCATGGTGGCTCATGCCCGTGATACCAGCACTTTGGGAGGCCGAGGTCGGTGGATCACCTGAGGTCAGGAGTTCAAGACCAGCCTGGCCAATATGGTGAAACCCATCTCCGTTAAAAATACAAAAATTAGCTGGGCATGGTGGCAAGCATCTGTAATCCCAGCTACTCATGAGGCTGAGGCAGGAGAATCACTTGAAACCAGGAGGCAGAGAGTTCAGTGAGCTGAGATCGTACCATTGCACTCAACCCTGGGTGACAGGAGTGAAACTCCATCTCAAAAAAAAAGAAAACAAAAAAAGAGTAATAATATCCCATATTTATGAGGTGTGTGGCAATGGGTGCAATGTATGAGGTATAAATTAATGCAGCCTTTTGGAAGGCAATTGGCCAATGTGTATAAACTATTAAAAGCATATACCTTTCAACAGAACCATCCAACTTCTAGAAATCCACCCTTCAAAGGTATTTGAGCACATACACAAAGGTATATTACAAGGCTATTCATGCAAAACTATTCATAGCAGTGAAGAATTATAAACAACCTAGATGGACTTCAGTGGGGTTGCTGTATTTTCTAACAGTTCTAATTCTTGGGTAGTTCTTCCTTACACTTCTGGAATCTATTCACCAGCTCCTGGGTCCAAGGTTTCCCTCCCTGGGGCCTCACAAAGCAAATCTAATCAAAGGTCATGTTGTCATTAATTTTGTCCTTCCTTGGGCGTGGCCTATATATAAACTCCATGGGCTCTATAGGTCAAACTTGGGATACAGCGTCTAGAAACACACTTCAGATTACCAGAATTTTTGGAAGCCCAATTGAATGGAGCAGGAGTCTCGAAGCAAAACAAGGATTACAACACATTCTAGTCTCAAATAAATATTCAAGCATCATCAGCTGTCCATTCTTTTACTTGGCACTTGAGTCCTTATTTATTGGGTGTCATTCACTGGGTGGAGATTTACTGCGCTGACTCTGCTTTCTTACTCACTAAGCAAACCTCCTACCTCTTATCTGCAGCAAGTTACTGCCCACTGTTTTTTGAAAGGCCTCAAATACACAGATCAAAACTGGGTGGCACTGCTGTGAAAAGTTCTCATTCTACAGGTAGGGAACAACTAGGTAGATTGTTAGAACGTCTCTAGCCTTCTGGTTAAAAATGGAAATGTTCCTTATACACACCAAGAACCAAAACCCTTTCATGGGTTCTGAGAATTGGGGAGGGGGAAAAAAGAACCAAAACCCTTTCCTTCATGGTTGCCAAGTATTCTTTTTTTAAACAAAAAAAGTTTTTAACTTTATTATTATTATTATTGTCATTATTTTGAGATGGTGGCCTCCCCATGTTGTCCAGCTGGTCTCAAACCCTTGAATTCAAGGGATCCTCCCTGCTTGACCTCTCAAAGCATTGAGATTACCGGTGTGAGAGAGCCTGTAATCCACAGGTATTCTCAAGAGGAAACACAGAATGATCCCACCTGGTCACAAGTACTCTTAAAAGGAAACACAGGGCCAGGTGCGGTGGCTCACGCCTGTAATCCCAGCACTTTGGGAGGCCAAGGCAGGTGGATCACAAGATCAGGAGATCGAGACCATCCTGGCTAACACAGTGAAACCCCATCTCTATTAAAAATACAAAAAAATTAGCCAGGCTGGTGGCGGGCGCCTGTAGTCCCAGCTACTTGGGAGGCTGAGGCAGGAGAATGGCGTGAACCCAGGTGGCAGAGCTTGCAGTGAGCTGAGATCGCCCACTGCACTCCAGCCTGGGCAACAGAGCGAGACTCCATCTCAAAAACAAAAAAAAAAAAAAAGGAAACACAGAAAGAACTTTCCTACTTCCTGACTTTGCCTGGAATAAGCATTACTTAACAATTGCGGAGCCAGTGTGTTGGCCAAAGACTTGAAAGGGCAGGACTGTGCTCATTTACTCAGGACAGTTGACTACCTTAAAAAAAAAAAATCTGTTGAAAAGAGATTTCTTTTTTCTTTTTTTTTTTTTGAGGTGGAGTTTTGCTCTCGTTGCCCAGGCTGGAGTGCAATGGCGCGATCTC